TTACTACTAAAAGCCTATGACAAGTACTTTTATAAATGTAAGACTTTTTAGTGTGAAAATAATCAACATTAATTTATTATTGGGGATTTTCAAAATAATTGGGCATATTGCATCCTGGGTTTAGCTTATATTTAAGCCATTTGTTTTCTTTTTGCCATTTCTAATTGTACCATAGGGCTCGATGTCATTGATGCCTCATTATTTTCTAACAAGGTGATGTTTGGAAACATGGAATCTTTTGGGGAAAAAAGTTATTTTTTTATCTGAGAAGTAGGTGCTGCTTCTTCCCTTAGATGGTAATCACTTTTTGAGACTCATTCTGAGCAGCTCTTTTCACTCCCACATACTTGGGTATGGTGTCAGAAGTGCTCTCGGATGAGGCCGCATTAAGAACTTGCCTCTTCCAATGAACTGTTGTAATGGGTGCTTTGTAAAGGCTTGATTTGGACAGGTGACAGCCCCAAATCATAACCTATCCTTATTAAACCATATGGAGAAGATAGAAGCACTTACTCTGATGCCTCGGGCTACATATTAAGAGGGGCTTTTGACAGTGTCTGATAGGAGTGGAATGCAAGCTGCCATATGGACAACTAAGGAAGGAGCATACATTTACATAGACAAGTGTAGTGTAGTGTGTGTTTCTGTAGCTTGTCTTTGGAAACCAAATATTCTCTTTCCTTTCTTTCCCCCTCTTTGTGTATTTCTCTTTATTTCTCCTTTCTTCCCTCCCCCACCCCTCCTCTCCCTCTCCCCCTCCCCTTTATCATTTTCTCTTTGACTGTCTCCCCCATTTCTCCCCCACTCCCTCCTTCCCCTTTCTGTCTAATTACCAAAGGAATAATACTGCCAATTTTCTAAAACTTTCAAATGTGGGTTTATAATTTGATTTTTTTTTCAAATAAAAAAGAACTTTTTGCTGAATTCTGAGCAAACTTTTGGCTAGAATTTAGGATTTTTTTGTAGTTCATAGGAAATATAGGTAATCTTCATTTTCTTTAAATCCTGCGGGATAGTTGCTATCAAGATTCATAACTGACCAGAGAAAATCCTTTCTTTGCCACATTCATTAAAATAAGAAACATACAATAACCAACTTTCATATTCATTAGAATTTTTAGCAGTCTGATCTTGTACATATGGGTTAAAAATAGAACTTATGGCCGGGTGCGGTGGCTCAAGCCTGTAATCCCAGCACTTTGGGAGGCCAAGACGGGTAGATCACGAGGTCGGGAGATCGAGACCATCCTGGCTAACACGGTGAAATCCCGTCTCTACTAAAAAAAAAAATACAAAAAACTAACTGGGCGAGGTGGCGGGTCCCTGTAGTCCCAGCTACTCGGGAGGCTGAGGCAGGAGAATGGCGTAAACCTGGGAGGCGGAGCTTGCAGTGAGCTGAGATCCGGCCACTGCACGCCAGCCTGGGCGACAGGACGAGACTCCGTCTCAAAAAAAAAAATAGAACTTATAGCCATATTATTTAATGCTATATATTTTATACAAAGTATGAGGGGTATATACAGGCCTCAATAGGTTTTATAGGTGTCATTTAATACAATCTTCTGAATAATAATGTAGTAATCTTAGTATTCAAGTATTCATTCATCCAACAAACATTTGGTTACTTGCTCTGAGCCAGGGACTTTTCTGGAACTTAGAATACAGATATAGTTCCTGCCCTGAGAACCTTAAATCCTTGTAGGCAGCGAGAAATATGTCAGCGAGAAATATGTCAGCAAGAGAAGATCACTTTTATAACAAAAACCACAGGGGAAACCTGTCCAGGTTAGAGAGTAAACAAGAGAAGCCAGTAATTGGGCAAGGGGACAGCAGAATGAAGCATTTCTAGAAAAGATTTGAGGAGCAAGTGTATATTGAATCATGAAAATCATTATGACTGTACCACAGGAAATGAAAGGTAAGGCGACAGAAATGAGCTGGAGAAGTAACTTGAAGACAGATCTTGGAAAGCTTTCATACCATGCTCAGGCTTTGAAGCTTGTCATAATGATCCACTAAAAGATTATAATCTTTAGAGGTGACATTCTTAGTTTTATATTTCAGCAAGCCCCTCTGCTTATGATTTTGAGAAGATGGATTGGCAGAGGAAATATTAGGATCCTAAAGACCAGTTAGGTTATTATTGCATTAATCAAGACAGGAGATGAGAGGGCTGGACTAGTGCAACAGCAGTAGTGATGAAGAGAACACAGTAACTTACTGAAAGATACTAAGAATATAAAATACACCAGTCTTGATGACTAATTGGTTGTCAGAGTGAGGAATGGTAGTTTTATAGAGGTTAAACATGGAGTTTTTATATCAAATCCTGGTTCTATTAATGACTAAATGATCTTAGACAAGTATCCTAAACTCTCTGTGCCTCAGTTACCTTATTGATAAGTTTAAAAAAATAGTTCCAGCCGGTCACGGTAGCTCACACCTGTAATCCCAGCACTTTGGGAAGCCAGGGCAGGTGGATCACATGAGGTCGGAAGTTCGAGACCAGCCTGACCAGCAAAGAGAAACCCTATCTCTACTAAAAATACAAAAATTAGCTGGGCATGGTGGCACACGTCTGTAATCCCAGCTACTTGGGAGGCTGAGGCAGGAGAATCACTTAAACCCAGGAGGTAGAGGTTGCGGTGAGCCAAGGTCACGCCATTGCACTCCAGCCTGGGCTGCAAGAGCGAGACTCCATCTCAAAAAATAAATAAATAAATAAATAAATAACGAGTTCCTCCCTCGTAGAGTTTCTGTGATGATTAAATGAGATAAGGCACAGATAGGACTTCACATAGTGCTTGGTACTCCAAATATGCTAGGGATGAGGAGGAGGAAGAAGAGAATGAGAGTTCTTAAGTAGAGATCCAATGAATGCAGATATCAGTATATTTTTTAAATTTGCGTACTACAGCGAATTAGATGGTTTGAATGAGAATATTTTATCCTTAAAGTTTAACATGCTTATTTAGGTGGCATTTGATGAAAGTAACTGAATTTTTTGAGCTGTAGTACCTTCTAGCTTGATGATTGAATCTCCAGGAATAAATAAAGCTTCTTTCAGTGTGCTAATGAAAACATCATTAAGATAACATTAGTCTCCTAAATAAGACACCTATCATTAAGTATGATTATCGTTCACAATTTAATGGGAAATATTTTAGCATATAGCTGAGCTGGGAAAAGATTATTTAGCCACAAAAAAATGCTAACCCATATCAATTAGAGGTAGAAAAAAATCTGTTGTATTTCCTTCTGTGTTTAGAATTACTTCCCATACCAATTTATGTACCTGTAGTTGTCCAGCCTCTGACAAGTTTCAGAAACTCATAAAGTAACATATCGAAGACATCTTCATATACATGCCACAGTGATAAACATCATATCCTTTGACCAAGATCTAAAACACTCTTAGGCTTTTGGGATATTTTTGCCCTGAAGAAGATAATGTAGGAAGTTGTCATAGTGAGTATTTTATAAGACACTGCTCTTGGAGTTGCTAGTAATTAGATTTAGTAATGATACGCATATATAGCTATTCAGATCCATAAAAGTGGATGAGATTACTAACTTTTCCCCAGCTTCTACCTCTTCACCCTAGTCAAAGCCACTATCATCCTTTACCTAATCTATTGCAGTAAGCAACTGAATACTAACCTTTTTCTCTGTTTTCACCCCTGGCTACCTAGTCCATTTTCCACACAGCAGCCAGAGAGATCATATCATGTCACTCCTCTGCATAATCATAAGCGTTGTCAAGCTTCCCATCACAGCCACTACAAGCAACACTCCTTACTCGGTCCTAGGATCTAGACCCTGCTGTGGGCTGCCCCTTCCCCTCCCTCAGTCTATTGCAGTTACTCTGGCCTTTCATCACTCTGCAAAGACCCAAGCTTATTCTTCCCCAAAACTTGTTTGCTAGCTGTTCCCTCTCCCTGGAAACCGCCCCTTTAAGTCTTCCATGGAAGGTTCTTCTGTCACTTAGATTCAACTAAAATACCATCTCTTTAGGAATACGTTTCCTGACCTGACCACACAGTATATTTTTAAATCAGCACATTTTCACTTTGAGGGCCACAATGGGGCTTAGGGCATGTTCTTTGAGAAATATTTACAATTCATAGTATTGTCATCTAAAATAAATTCTTTATTAAATACTACTTAGCATTACTTACTGTTTTCCTATAGATGCTCTGTTTTTTCATGGTGCAACTTAGGCACATACTCACCTGTATTTTAATAAAATTGTATCATCTGCATAGAAAACATTCATCACCTGAAAAAGGTGAGTGTAACTTGCCCAGCAGCCTTGTAGCACAAATTCTAAGACTTCTGTCACTACTTTAGGTAGGATGTTCCATACTACCATTTATTAAAGACAAATGGAAAACTGAAAAATCCATGTGATATGCTGACTGTTTTAAAATACAGATATGCAAAATTGAATGACTAAAAAGAAAAATCCACAAATAACTATAATGTTCATGAATCAAAATAGATATTCCCAAACCCACGGACACCCTCCTGAGTGAACAAGAAGAGCTTTTACAAGTAATCAAGCTTACCTCATAGAATTGAGCAGATTTAGCTCCTTTGTGATACACAGCATAGCACAGAGGTTGTAACTCTGCTTAATTGCTGTATTTACATGTGTCGGGACCTTCAGGGGAGCTGGCACCTCCCTTGAATTTCCAGTGAGTGGTCATGTGCCTATGTGTTAAACCTCTTAGAAAATAAAAACATACCACCTGCCAGGAAAATTTTAGAGAGATATTATCTATTTGTGTTTTGACAGTCATATATAGAAGGCTAATTATACTTTTTGATCAGTTTCCATGATCTGATATTCAGTATGGGGGATATGATCTATTCTCATCTGCATTTTATCAGTTCTTCTGTGTCAGACTCTCTCAGGAAACGTGTTTTTTTTGGCCCATATTTTCCAAATGTCTGATATTATCCCTCTGACAAACACTGTTTCTGCTTGGCTATTTCAGCACTTCTGTGTAATGGAAAATTTCACAAACACTTGCAAGAAATCTTTGTACCCTTGGTTGTCCGCTACGTGGATCTCATGGAGTCCTCCATCGCCCAGTCAATTCACAGAGGTTTTGAGCAGGAGACATGGCAACCTGTCAAGTAGGTATCTTATCTAGTGTCCGTAGAGCACCTGCCTCTTCAACCTTGACCTTATGATTTTACACATGGCCATCTGTAGTTATCGCTTATGGTGGTCCCTTCCCACGTTGTTTGTTTCTTTACAGGAATATCGCCAACAGTCTTCCCAATGTAGCTCTTCCAAAAGTTCCAAGTCTGCCTCTTAATCTTCCACAGATTCCTAACATTTCTACTCCTTCGTGGATGCCTTCTTTATATGAGTCCACGTGTGTATTCCTCACTTATTTCCTGGTGATGTGTTAGCTGGTGCATGGCCTGGGCTGTGTTCTGCGCAGATGTGTTTAGATTGCATGGCATTTATCATCATTGGTTGAGGAATACTGCTTTTTTTTATTTTGAGTTTTTTAAGCTAGTAAGCTAAGCTTAGCAGATCTGTAATGAAAGATGTCGATTAAAAAGAAAAAACACACTAGTTTAATGTAGTTCATATGTAATATGTGGAACAGGAATCATTTGGTGACATTCTACCCTAAGTAAATCATTTGGTGACATGGTACCCTAAGTAAAATAAACAGAGTTCTCCTTAAGTATACAAGGCATTTTGAGGATTCTTAGCTCCAGCTTTGTTACTGACCAGATGACTTACCTTGTGCAACTAGAAAACCTTTGGAAGAATGGTTTCAAGAATATAATCTTTTTCTATTTTTATCTTAGTCTCAACTTCTAAAAAACAGTACTGCATCATGCAGGGAAGGGGTTGTCCTTTCATTGCCAAAACCAGGAATTTCTTCTTTTGTTCTTTTATTATGCAGTTGGTACATGTTGGTATTTTTAAATAGTCTTTATATCATCAAAAACCATATTAACTTCACATCATGATGAGCTTGCCTATTGCAGAATCAGCAACTAAGAAACACTGAAGTGAACAGGAATGGGCTTTTAAATTGATCAGGTCTGAATTTAGATCTTAGCTTATTAATTGTAAGTCTTAACCTGAGCTTTTTCCTCAACTCTAAAACAATTATGACACCTAATTGAAAGATGATGTTTTTGTGATGATTCTTTAAAAAAAAAAAAAAAAAAAAAAACTGTATTGAGGCACATCCTAGGCTCTCAATAAATGATTAGTACTATTGGCATATCCGAGGCACCCAGTAAATAATAATTACTACTACTCTACATTGTTGTTTTTCTTATTATTACTATCATCAGGCATCATCATTATAATTTATAATGGTGTAGCTTTTAAAACTATACCTCACAGCGATCAGAACCAAGTAATAGTCCTAGTTTACAAATGGGAAAACTTGGGCAGTTACCTGCTTTGCCCAAGATCTCATATGAAATCAACTAGAAAGAATAATCATGAAAGGAAGAAAAATAGCTTCCATTTATTGAGAATTTACTGTGTTTCCAGTACATTGCCAAGTTGTTTATCTCATTTAATCTTTATAACAACCTCGTATCATTATCCCCATTTTACAGTTAAGGAAACTAAGTCATAAAGAAACTAAGAAACAAAACTTACCTAATATCTCACAGCAAGTAAGTGACAGAGGCAAAATTTGAACCCAGGTTTGTTTGACTACAAATTCCTCACTCCTATCATTAATTTGTTCTGCTCTCACAGAACATTGTGTTTAAGAACTTGCTGTTTTTCTACCTGTCTCACCACCAACTGCAAATCTACACCCAGTCAGGTATACGCACAATCAAGAAAAGAGATAGGAAAAGACCAAGAAAGAGAATAGCTTGCAAAGTAATATGGCAGTATTTCTCCAAGTTAAACATCATAACTACATTCATAATACTCACTAGGATATTATGTTACATGTGAATTTTTTTTCTTACAGACAAATGCTTTTGGCCATTAGAGTGTGTAAAGTGGTGTCTGTGTGTGCTCAGAAAATTACCTACAAAGTATAATGAACCTAAGTGTATGACTTTTTGTTCTTTTTTATACTGTTTTATAATTTAACTCATTTTCTTCCTAATTTCTCATCTATTTAACACTTGATTTTAGCCAAGAACACTATCATGGGCATTATCCTGTGAAATTTAGTTTTTTGTTAGTACTCTTTTATTAACTTTGGGATTTTTATGAACTCCGAATCCTTTATTGAGGACTCTTTTTTAAAGTATGTTAATCTCAAGACAGAAATAATGACAAATTGGGGCCTTGTAAGTAAAGTGATCGTGCTTTCACCATTCTGGGGAAATTGAAAAATGTTTTTTACAAGTTGATCACCATTATCTTTACCTACCAAGGTTATCAACATTAGGTTCTTTGTCAGAGTGTCCAGAATTACTCATAACATTATGATGTTATTGCCATTTGTTTTTTGAAGTTTGAAACGTAACAAGAAACATTTATATTTAACATAAAGAATTAAAAATACAACTACTGATTAAATACGAAGAATATAAAAGTAACCATGGTTTTGAAGATACATCCCTGCCTACTAATGCATAAATCATGAAAGGATTGCTCATCCACGTATCTATCTGTATATAAATCTTTATTTTTTTTTTTTCTCTAGAAATGAATGCCAGTAAGTTAAGTTTCCTGCTGGCATTTTTTAGGAAATTATCTCAGAGTCTATTATTCACATTTGAATTCTTTAATCTGTTAATAATACCTTTAGGAATAGGTCACTGATTAGAAATAATTTTAAAATGAAAAAGCTCTGAATAAATGGCAGGTTATATGTACTAACTCCAGAGAAAGCCTACTCACATTTTCTTCATATATCTGTCTAATTATAACAAACACTTGTTTTCTTAATTACATTCCCAATTAAACACATTTATTGTCAAGAATCTTACTATAGAATAAAACAGAAGAAAAATATAACCATATTCTCTATAAAGGTTGTCGTATATTATTAGAAAATCTATTTTTAAAGCCGGGCGCGGTGGCTCAAGCCTGTAATCCCAGCACTTTGGGAGGCCGAGACGGGCGGATCACGAGGTCAGGAGATCGAGACCATCCTGGTGAACACGGTGAAACCCCGTCTCTACTAAAAATACATAAAAAACTAGCCGAGCGAGGTGGCGGGCACCTGTAATCCCAGCTACTCGGGAGGCTGAGGCAGGAGAATGGCATGAACCTGGGAGGTGGAGCTTGCAGTGAGCTGAGATCCGGCCACTGCACTCCAGCCTGGGCGACAGAGCGAGACTCCGTCTCAAAAAAAAAAAAATCTATTTTTAGTCGAATTCTGCCTTTACCAATAGAGATTTTGTTTTATGATGTTTTTCCTTGTCATTGTGTTGTTAAAGAATATATACATTTCAAATAGTTACATTTCTCCAAAGTAAAAAGATTACAAGAAGTAGATTTGCTTCTTTGCCAATTGTATTCAGTTATTGTTAAGACTTAGTTCCTCTAAACTACCAAACTGTACACTGTGGATGTGAAAGGAGATTTTGTTTGGTCTTTCTTTCTCTTAATTGTATTATATATGGCAAAAGGAGAAATAAAGGTAGTGTTTTTTCAACATTTTCACTGTAGATTCAGCATGGTGTTGTCTGATTCTCTTATTTAATGGTGCATTTGAGGCACTGAATATTAAGGTGAAGAGATTTAAGTGAATAAAGTGCTATGGGAGTGTTCACTGCTTTGCTGTGATTGGTCCCTAGAGAACTTAAATCTGAGGGCATTTTGGCTAGACAAGGAGACCAGGAGTAATTACTGGCAGAATGAGAAGAGAGAAGCAATGTAGGTTTGTGATAGAGCTTTGATGCTGAGGCCAGGGTGGAGGGCAGAAATAAGTTTTTCATTAGTCAAGAGCAAGAGGTGACTTTTTTTTCTAAGCTAGCTCATTAAGATATATTTAGCTAAATAATGTGGTGCTTTAAACAATTTTTTTTTTAATTTTACTTTAAGTTCTGGGATACATGCACAGAGTGTGCAGGTTTGTTGCACAGGTATTTTCCACTGCGATGTTGTAATAAATGAGTTTATTTCTTTAATTTTCTTTTGTAGACTAGAAATACAAATTTGAAGTTAGTGTATGTGAAGCAATTGTTGGAAAGCTGAGAACAAATGAATCATACAGCAGCTTTTTTTTTGCTTTTGCTTTTATGCTTTTTATAGTTAAATTTCAATATGTTTTGATGTAGGAATATTTTACTTTCAAAACGTTTGTTTCTGTATTAGCCTATGTACTTGCATAATGGAAAGTAATAGCATGACCCTTTGCCAAAATATTATATGAGTTACCTTCTTACATGGGCTGATAGCACAGTCCTCTAGAGTAATTTCACCATAGTAATGAATGCTTAGCAAATCTTGACTCCACAGTTAGGTATAAAGAACTGAAATGCATTGTTTTTCTCCATCTTCAGAGCACCCTGAATGTCATTCCTCTGTTAGACCACACCTTGCACTAAGTTGGGTTTTAATAAGCCAGAAAAGGCAAAAAATGAAAATAAAAGATTGCTTCCCTGCCTAGCCCATTTTATTTCCAGTACCTGTCTCACCTTTACCTATAATTGAGAAATTCAGGGACCCTATATTCTACATACGTGTAGATAGACAGAAACCACCATGGTGACAGAAGCACATATGCATGAATAATGGCAAAGGTACTGGTTGCTAACATAAGAATTTTCCTGCATAAAACATAATTTTGGGGATTTGCAAGAATCTTTATCCTAGTGAACAGTTACAATGTTTGTTCTTATGTACACAATATAATTTCCTAGTAAAGTATACGTATCCATTTTACCTCTTTGTATGAAACCCTACCACCATATTTTTTTTGTTGTTTTTGTTTTGTTTTGCTTTTTTTGAGACGGAGTCTTGCTCTGTCGCCCAGGGTGGAATGCAGTGGTGCCCTACCACCATATTTATTTCTATTTTGTTCTCCTTGCCCTGCCTTATTAAGAATTGTAAAGGAACAATTAGAAGGCTGAACAAAGAAAATATTGGATCATTCAAGATTTTATATGTTTTTTTTCACTGATGGCAATTGATACAGAAAAGAAAAAACAATGTATTAATGATAAATCTAATTAACAGGGGGAGTTCATGATGTTCATTTTTCCTTTTTCTTCTAGCAATGGCTCAGCAACATCAGAAGACCTTTTTTGGAAACTTGATGCACTGCAAATGTTTGTCTTTGATCTGCACTGGCCAGAACAGGAATTTGCCCACCACTTAGAGCAAAGACTTAAACTAATGGCCAGTGATATGCTAGAGGCCTGTGTCAAAAGGTAGACATGTATTTTCAAATTGCTGCTTAATGTTCCAGCACCCAAAAATATCACTTTTTATCAAGTACCTAATATATTATTGTCACAGCCAAAGTTTCATTATGCACTACTATTCCAACATTTAATGAGCATTAGGTTGTCTTGATTAAATTCTGAGGACCCATGTAATTGATGAAATTGGCTGCATACTTTTTTTCAGGTCTCTCAACTATTGCCTTAATCAGTAACATCTATACCATATTAATGGTTTCTTTAGGGCTTATTGTTATCTCTCTGGGAATACCGTGCTTTAAATTCCCAAGGTAATATCTCCTGAGACATATGAATAAGGTCTGTTATGTTCTGTATGCATTATGTACTGTGTCTGTGTGCTGTCAAATGGCATAGTAAACTCAAAATAGGATCAGCACCATCGGTTGTTCTGGGATTACTATTTTCTGGTATTTTCTGTCCACATCTGATGAGTTCCATCTACCTGCTTACATTCTTTATAACTTAACTGGAAATAAGTTATGAGGCTTTGTATTCTTCCAAATGTGCTTTCATTTTATAATAGTTTTACAAAATCAGCTTTGCATCCTAATTGGTCAAGCATTTTTTTTCCATTGTCCTTGTTCATTATGTATACAAGGACGATATGGAGCCACATATTAGAAAAGCATTCAAACACTGGTTAGGCCAATTGGATATTTCTGAAATCTTGAAACCAAGAAAAAAAAAAAATCTGTCTTTAGAATAATGTTCAGTGACCCCTTAAGGCAAGGGCCTGGATTAGGTAGTTTAATGTTTTTTAAAAATCATGTTTGATTTTCATGTTTCAAATCTGTGGATTTTCATAGGATACTTCAGCAAAACCAATTCAAATTGCTCATGATGCAGTTTCTTTCAAAACCCTGTCTGCAATTTTAGGTTTTTGAAAGAGAATGTAAGTGACATAAAAAAATTACACATTGTCTGTCGTACATTGATTACGATGTTTAGTTTTCTAGACTTGTGCTTATTTTTTTTCTAATTTGGTAAGCCCTCTCATAGAGGATATTTTCTGCTTAAATGCATACAAGTGTGTGATTTTTCTACTTGTAAATTCAGACAATTAATCAGACAATAAGTGAAATTACGAGTTTTTTTCCATTAAATGTGGTACTCTAGATATAACAAAAAGCTTCATTTGGGTTGTGATACTGCCTGAGTGACTGGATAAAGCTAGGCTTAATATAAAAATATCACAATCTGATCTTTCGTTGAGACACCTGAAAAGAAAAGCATCCCACCCCTTAGTGCCCAAGCACTACCACAGTGCTTACTCCTTATTTGCATGTTTTAAATTAGCATCTTATAGAGTTGATTTCACTTTTTACAAGACAGGTGAGGTGTATAGCAGAATTTCTTACTCTGAATTCGTGTTTTAAAAACTAGAACAAGAACTGCATTTGAACTCAAGCTACAAAAGGCAAGCAAAACAACTGACTTGCGCATTCCAGCTTCTGTTTGCACTATGTTTAATGTATTAGTCGACGCCAAAAAGCAAAGCACCAAACTCTGTGCCCTGGATGGAGGACAAGAGGTATGTAGAATTTGCCACATGGGGAAAGGAAGCACAGGGTGCCTTGGCATGCGAGATGCTCTTTCCACAAGGCATTCTCTAGATTGGATTGAAAAGACCAAGTTCTCCAGCACCAAATGTTTGATCTTTTCTTTATTATAATAATAGAATGCCCTTTATCCTTTGCTCATGTCGGTTTCTCCTTTTTGATATAAATACGGTCTAAAATTGCATAAGTGGCCATGAATTTTAGATACAGCTTTTAACAGCTTAAGTGTTGTGTCATTTACATAAACCTTGCTTTTTACAAGCAAATGAGAAATCTGGAAAGCTACCTGTTTTGTTTATCAAATCTAGAGTATCCAGAGTTTGCATCTATAAAAGACACACAAAAAAGTATGAAATAGTTTATTTACACAGTAGTTCCCATTTTAAAAAATTTAGGTAGAAATAGACTTAAAAATCTAGACCTCATTCTTATCAATAAATATCCTATTCTCTCTATTTGATTTATATTTTGTTTGGTTTTATATTCAGAAGTACAATTTTATTTTACCCCATGATTTTTTGTTGAGAGTGGTGATTGGGTGAAAATTGATTTATTTTTCTTCAATTATCTGTTTAAGTTGACATTTTGTTGCCTTTTTTTCCCATTGTAATTACTTTTTCTTCATTTCTTTATTCTTCCCTTCTGTTCTCTTTCATCATCTTTTTTTTTCCCCCATGGCATGATCCAGTTTGGTAGTCAATGGGTAAGTCTCATTTTTTTTTCTAAAAGCACATTTCATTTGAGTTACTATTTTTGTAAATATATATTTTTATTTTCATCTTTTCAAATTAGAATTATATAAATTTATTTTCAGATTTTTGGCTTCTGTATTCGCATATATAAGGCTAACAGCTTACAATAACATAGCAATAGTCCAAAGATTCACTAAACCACTAAATACTTATACCTTAAATAATGACAAGGGGAATGTTTCTCCCCTGTTAGGCTGCAGAATTTATAAACTACTCTTAAAATTTTAAAGATAAAATGATTTAAAACCAAATTAATTCACCTTCTTTTAAATTGAAATCTGAATAGCTATAGGAGCAGAGTGATTACATTTTTCAAGCATTTATCTACAGTATACTTTTAATACCAAAAGAATTTCAAGTTTGGAGCTTTAGATGACATATAGCCCCTAAAAATTTGAACCAGAAGTCCACACCCAAAGTCACTTCATAGAGATGAACCCAATGGTGGATTTCAGTGAGGTACAAGCCCACCAGTGATACAGTCTTTCCTCCCACTCATGGCCTAGGATGTGACCATCATCAGAGGTAAGGAAGAGGCAGGCCTGTGTCATGAGACTTCTGCCCGCCTCCACAACAGGTCATCATAAAATACCATCCCAGAATCCCTGAGTTACAAGGTTAGAAAAACTTTATGCATAAAGGATTGACTAGTGTATACTTTTTTTTTAAATTTTTTCCATGAGTCAGAATGTCTTTGTGTCCTGCAGGTAGGTTACATCTTACAAGTCTTACAGTTGACAATTGGGAATCAAACTCAGGGTGATTCTTCCTGGGCTGACAATTCTCATCCAAGCAGAAGGGCTTAGTTAACTGTGAAGGTAGATGGGAAGGATTACTACTTGTGAATTCTATACCTATTGCCCCAGATATAGAGATTAGCTATTTGGCCATAATTTATATTTATGCATGAATACACAGTTTTATTATTTGAGCAATTCAGCAGGAAAAAAATGTATTTATAATACCATAGCAAACAACCTTACAAATATATCAAGTAACTGATATGTGTTATAGAATGTTCAGTAATTACCATTCTCTGATCACTTACAACATGATTTATTATATCTAATTATCTGAATAAGTAGGCAACTGGCTTAGATACCAGTGTTTCCTATTTACCTCCTCATGTTTTTTTTAATACCCAGATGTAAGCCTTTGATTGTCTGCCTGAGAATGTTATCTTGTTTCTTCATAAACCTATTCTTTTCTCATCTGGTGTGTGGAATCATCTTCCATTGATACTGGGTTTATCCATTTGTTCTTGTTTTAACATACACTGCAGTACCTGACATGCAGTAGGCACTTAGTAAATGTTTGAGTGAATGAACAGATTTGTTGTCACGGCTTTAAAAATCCTCCCCTGTAGAAACAACTTGCTGTAGTACTTAAGAGGAAAAACAGGCACACACACACACACACAAATGACGAACATTGTTACATTGTCAAATGATTCTTTACATTAATAGGTGGGTGGTTTTGAAGAGGAATCTACTGCTGTTCATTATGTGTGCACCTGTGCATTCACACCAGAGACAATTAGTTCCCCACAACTTTCACACAATTAACATAGTTCAAAATGTGCAGGTGTAAAACCCATTAGCAACCCTGAAAAAGTGGCAAACAAGAATTTCATTGCAAAAGATTTTTATACTTTGTTTTTTCTCTCCAGTAAACATACATAATTGCATAGACCTTCCCTCTCTATATATGCCGAGATAAGTTTTGGAATTGTTGAAAATTAGTGTATACATTACATATACAAGTGAGTCAGTGAACCCCATTTAAAATAGCAACAAAGTTGTTGAAAAAACTAATAACTAGACAATTTGGAACCATATAAAAATATGTACTACATAGTTAAACACGGCAGCAATGTTTTTGCTAAATTATAAATAAATTACCTCTCCAAAATCTCTAGTAAATTTGTTATATTGTCATCACTTGGATAAAACTTGCACAACTCCTTCCCCACAGTGCATTCCCTTCTGTGCTTCTAAGTTATGATTCTGTTTTCTTACACGCTACATGATGATGCCAACATGTTCCACTGAGGCCCAGAATAGGGTTTAATGGAGTGATTAATGGGTGAGTGATCTGCTCATGTGACAGCTATGTGAAATGAGTCAGCAATCTCAGGCCAGTCCCTCAGGGACAGATGTTGAGATCACAAAACCACCGAAGTGTTTAGGATCTTCATTATTCATAACTGCACAAAAGCAGATGACTACATGGGCTGTAGGCATTCATCAGCCCTCAGAACCATTTCATTCAGTGGTCCCATTAGTTAATGATGAAGGTGAAAACTCATTAATATGGCAATTCAGGGGAGCAAGGGTCCCTACTTGGGCCAATTTTATTCTCAGTTAAATTAAAATGCACCCATTTCTGGAACTAACAATCCAGTACCTTTAAAATATTATATACCCCAAGACAAGATCCAGAATCTTTTAAGAAAGCTGGAATTCACTGGTATCTAATTAGTCTTCATTTCCTGAGTGTATTTGTGTAACAACAGTCAGGTGAAGTGGTGCTGTTCGCCTGATTGTAGAGAGGCCAGGATTTCGGAATGTGCCTGACCTATGATTTCCCTGGACTTCAAGAAGTAAGGATTCCTGAATGGTTATTTGAATGTAAGTTCAGAGTCACCTGCTGGGAAAGCAGGCACAGTTTGCCTTTGAGGGCAGATGTGGGGAGACTTAGCTCAAGAATGAATTGGAATCTGACAAAGCCCTAGAATCTAAGATTATCAATCCAACTTGAAGTATTCTAAGAATTTTATTTTTTTCTTTTTTTAAATTTCAACTTTTGTTGTAGATATGGGGGTACATGTGTAGTTTTGTTACACATGGGTATTGCACCCAGGTCCTGAGCTTGGTACTCAATAGGTAGTTTTTCCATCCATATCTCCCTCCTTCCCTCTCCCCTCTAGTAGTCCACAGTGCCTGTTGTTCCCATGTTTATGTCCATGTGTTCTCAGTGTTTAGCTCCCACTTATAAGTGAGAACATGGAGTATCTGATTTTCTGTTCCTGTGTTAATTTGCTTAGGATTATGGCCTCCAGCTGCATCCATGTGGCTGCAAAGGACATGATTTTGTACTTTTTAATGGCTGTGTAGTAGTCCGTGGTGTATATGTACCATGTTTTCTTTATCTGGTCTACCGTTGATGGACACATAGGTTGATTTCATGTCTTTGCTACTGTGAATAACATGGCAGCTGGGCGCAGTGGCTCACGCCTGTAATCCCAGCACTTTGGGAGGCCAAGGCGGGTGGATCACGAGGTCAGGAGATCGAGACCATCCTGGCTAACACGGTGAAACCCTGTCTCTACTAAAATACAAAAAACTAGCCAGGCGAGGTGGCGGGCGCCTGTAGTCCCAGCTGCTCGGGAGGCTGAGGCAGGAGAATGGCGGGAACCCAGGAGGCGGAGCTTGCAGTGAGCCGAGATCGCACCACTGCACTCCAGCCTGGGCGAGAGTGAGACTCCATCTCAAAAAAAAAAAAAAAAAAAAAAAAAAAAAAAAAAAAAAACACGGCAATGAACACACAAATTCAAGTGGTTTTTGTTTTGCTTTTGTTTTCGTTTGTTTGGCGTAGTGATCTGTATTCCTTTCTTTGGATATGTACCCAGTAATGGGATTGCTGGGTCAAATGGTAGCTCTGTTTTAAGTTCTTTGAGAAATCTTCAAACTACTTTCCACAGTGGCTGAATTAATTTACATTCCCACCAACAGTGTATACGCATTACCTTTTCTCAGTATTTTTTATTTTTTTGTTTCCTTCTGTCACCCATGCTGAAGTGCAGTGGCATATTCATAGCTCACTGCAACCTTGAACTCGGGCTCAGGCGATCCTCCCACCTTGACTTCCAAAAGTGCTGGGATTACAGGCATGATCCACCATGCCCAGCCTCTGATAAAAACTTTTTAGGTTTTTATTGTTGGAAACAAAAATGTACCAAATTCTTACAAAATGTCTGTTATACTAAATGGGAAAAAAAAAAAAAAACTATCAATTTTACCTTATAAATGTCTATGTAGATAAACTCTGTTTTTACCTGTGATCTCTTTTTGCATGTTCGTGTTTGTCTTTGAAAGTTATCTGAAAATTTCTAAAAAGCTGCTTTTGTGAACTAGTTTAAGCACACCACTGATCTTAGAATGTTTTAAACAACCACTGAACACTCCTGTACCCACCCCAGATGAACACATAATATCCATTGTTATTTTGGCAGTTTTTGACTTGCCTTATTTTAAATGTGTGCACACACAAATATTACTTTCACAATTAATCATTAATTACATTTATTGATGTATTTCAATTTCTGGTTTCATCCTTGTTCCTTAATTCTACAGCTTCCTTTCATGTTAATTTGTCATTTTCCTGAAATACATCATTTAATAAATCTTTTAGCAAGGATTAAAAAAAAAAAACAGAAAAAGAAAGTTATCTGGGTCCCCTGATGAATGACTTTTTCTAGCTGACTTTGTATTACCTGTGTATGGCATATGTGAGTTATAATCTGCAGAATATATATGTAAAATGGGAATTCTCAGGCCGTCTTTTCTGTCACACTCATGCGCCTCTACCACCCCCACCACCTGTGCAGCCAGAGCAGATTCTGAAAGTTTCCAGCAGTTGTAATATTAGTGTAAGTCATATCTAATCAGATACATTTACAATAGCAGAATCCCATATTATAGAAATCTGAAAACCTCACACTATTTGGATTTACCCCTTGGGTATTAAATTTAAGATGTATACTTCTTTCTTTATTCCTTTCTTTTTAATATTGTATGTGTTTGTTTTTGTTCATTCATTCTCATTTTCTCTCCCTCCCTCATCTCTTCCTTTTTTTCTCTTTATCTCTGCTTATGGCTAGATCAGGTATCAAAGCAAGCAACAATCTACAGGTGTGTATTATAGGAGAATTTAATGGTTCCTATTGTCCCTTGACTTTCACTACTTTTCAAGAAAATGGGTATCAATGACCTCTTTTGTGGCTCATCACTTGATTTTAAAAGATTTGCCAGAATCAATTCAACCCAAAAGTTTAACATGTAGAAGCTCTGTATTTTATATTCGATAGCTTTCTGATGACATCTGATCACTTTGAGTTCAAAAAATGAAAGTTATGAAAACACAGAAAAACACTGGGGATAAGGCATATTTAGGAAACTGCTTGGAAGTCTGGGTGCCTCAATGCCTGTATGCTTTGGAGCACTTTCCATGTAAGAGGGAAGTGAGATACTTGAAACCCAACTCCTGTATCTCTTTCCTCTTCTACTCCAAAGAGTATCACATGGCATTTCATTTCCTCTTGCTGCATACACTGATCTGGAGTCAGAAGGGTGTGAAACAAGAGTGGCAGAGCAGGAGAGCCAGGCAGAGCTTATTTGCATAAGCTTCTCCATCACACAGTCAGCTGCACAGCTTTCCGCCAGGAGCTGGCGGGCCTTTTTTTGTAAGTGTGTCTGTGGAGGGATTACCCTACCCATCAGCCCGTGCACTGGAATTGTTCAGCTGGTCTCAGATATGTTCATGTGTGGGCCTGCCTGGCTCAGAAAATTATTAATAATTTAGATTGGATCAGAACTTTAACTGCCAGCCAGCGTTTTCAGGCTCTGTTTCTTCTACCTGTTTTTCTGTCTTCTCTCCCCTTTTCCTTCTCTTCAAGATAGAAACCCACTCTCTATGTTTCAATTCCATTTATCCTCTGGGGAGCACAAATTTGGGAATTGATAACGGCTTTAAGTGAGACAGACGTGCTTTAGTGGGTGCAATATGTGCTCAGAAAATTCCACATTCACACTGATGTGGTTAATTTTAGATCACTCATCATTACGCACTTATATTCACACCCACACACACTCAGACTCACACAGAAAAAAAAATAATTCAGACACTCCAAAATTATCCTTCCTTTATTTATCATTTATGCAAGTTGATGATAACCACTTGTAGCTGTCGGAACCCTTGGGGAGAGGGGTGGAGTGTCGTTCCTGAGTATTCCAAAGCAGACCTAAGTTGATGTTTTGTTCTGTGTGGAAACTTTGAGACATGTTTTCAGCACAAAAAAAAAAAAAAAAAAATAGCTTTCAAAAACTTACATCTTAAGAAACCATTCAACCAGCAGTGAAGTTGGTCTAATGTTTATATTGACCTGAGTACTTTTACTCTATGCATTTTATTAGCTGTTCCAAGAAGCCTTGAACCATCAAGATAGGGTTAGTCTTTACAAGTCACATTTTCTGTGAAGTGGCTATTGGGGACAATCAGCTGTCAGATAAATGCTTCTAAAGGAAGAATTACTGTTTAAATGGATGTACCTTCACAAGCCTTGGAAGCCAAAGCTTCTGCTAATTTAAGAATGGAGCGCTCTAGTATTCTCTAAAGAAAAAAAAAAAAAAAAGTCTTTCAGGTTGATTTTAAATACATCTTTTTTTGGTATTTATTTAAAGGCATCTTTTTCATGAGGAAGCGGTAATAAAACTATGGAGAGTGAGTGATGTTTCATTATACCTTTTATGGCCTATTAATTTGTTACCATCTATTCACCTTTGTTGATGAAATTCTAATTTTGCCCTTGCTCGAGCATATTGTAAGAATTGTATAAACTGCTGCTCCCTGTGCTGACAAAAAGGTCCTTTTAGAGTGAACAATTGGGAGCTCATTTTATTTCTAGAGCACATTTAAAATAACTTATGAATGAGAGTTGTCAGACATGAAATGCAGTATTAATTAAATCTTTTTCTAGTCTTTTTGCTTCTCCAGCTAAACCAACCCTTTAGAAAAATACATGGCCACCTTAATTATAGAGGAGAAGACAAAAAGTATCCTTCACATTCCTCTGCCTGAATAAGAATAAGAACTCGATTCATCTAAATAATAACCCCATTAGCTGCTTAACTCAACAGTGCACATGGGAAAATTTTCAAACCACAATGTGAAAAGTGTTGATTGGGTGGATCATTTTCAAGGTTTTGTTCTTTTAATGTTCAAAGTGGTCATTTTAAATAAATCCAATAGGTCATAACTAGTAGATTTAGAGCATTTGTGACTGATGACAAAAATTTTGTGTCCATGTCAACTAATGAATTTTTATCTTTTACTATCTAGCAACAGTACCATTCAAAAATAGATGATCTGATCGACAACAGTGTAAAAGAAATCATTTCGCTATTAGTTTCAAAGGTAATGTATTATTTATTCAGCTTTTTAAATCAAAGTGAAAAATAATTTTCAATGGAGAATTTTTAAAATATTTTTGAACATCTAATTAGAAAAATGTAGTTTAAAAGATTAGGGCAGGAAAAATTTATAATCTTCAGAAAAGTTAGGAGCAAAAAAGGTTAGGAACAACTTTTGATTATTTTTTGTATATAATAAATTTTGGCTTTTCCTAAAATTGTTGTCATTTTAACACTAACTCTTCTTCCAGTAAAACCTTATTATGTCACATTCATGTTCTCTTGCTATATAACTCCATAGCAGCTTTGAGTAGCCATCAGTCCTTGAATTTAGCCCATATTTAGTGGCGACGGCACTAAGACTGTAGATCTGGTCTCAGAGACAGACAGAGAAAGCTGCAGGGTGACATCTGAGGTCCTCCACGCCCAGGAGTTTCCCAGGATTTCCCATTTGATGCTCAAAATACCTTTGATAAAAGCTATGATCTTTCACTGTATAAGAAGAGATGAAGCAGTGGATGCCTCATTTAGTGATTAGATGATTTAGATTCCCACTAAGGTGTAGCAGACGGTCATGGGTAGCATTTGAGATGGGGGGCTGATAAGGAAAGGAAGAGAGAACATGAGAGCACCGGGAGTTTAAGAGGATGAACAAAGAGAATTGTCATGTTCCTAGAGGTACTTTCCTGTGAGCAGATATATCCCATGCTCTCACAAGGCTTCATCAAAAAACCCCAAATCAGGCTTCTTCATAAAACAACTGGAAGGATGACAAGAAACAAAGGTAAAACCACTCCCAATTTAATAAACAGACAAAAGACATCCTGTTTAGAAAAGAAAAAAAAAAAACAGAGATGTCACATGAACATGAACAATGTTAATCCTCAATAATTTAAGGAATGCAAAGTGAGCTACAAAATATACTATTTTCTCTAGCAAATTAGCATACATGTTTTTAAAGTAACATTCAGTTTTAGGTGAGGCGAGACACTCACCTTTCCTATATAGGGCAGTATAAATTGTTACAGCTGTTCTGGAAAATAGTTTGGAAATACATCAAGTACATTAATACCTTTTCACCTTTTTCTATTTTGTCATACTAAGATGCACAAAATATATACTATTGGTATTTGCCATATTATGTCTTACCAAAATTTGGAAACAACCTTAATTTCTAATAAGGGAAAAGGTAAAGCAAATTATGGGACATCTGAAAAGGTAAAGCAAATTATGGGACATCTGTATTAAGAAATGATACTATCAAAGACTATTAATGGTAAATGAAGAGTTTCATAATATAGTATTAAGTGAAAACAGCTGAATATTTAAAAGTATAAAGTATGGTCTGAATTTGCATCTTATAGGAAAAAGACTGTTAGGATAAACACCAGAATGTTAACAGAGCTTTTCTCTGGGTAATGGGAGTATAGTTCATTTTTTATTGTGTCTTCAATTTTTTTTGTATTTTTCAAATTATCTAGTGTCATGTCTTAGAGTGGAAAACAATCACAAAGAAAAACGATGTTAGAATCACACCACCTCACCAGCTTATTTTTGTTCTCCTGATTTTTGTCACTGCACCAAATACCTACACATACACATACCTCACACACTCACCAACAAGTGGATAGATAGAGAAAAAAATAATAGGAAAACCATGGAGGGAAGGGGTGAACCACTGGAGAATCAAGCTCTCTGAGGAAGAGCAGTGAGATTTCCACCCTCTGAGGAGCCCAGCACAGCAGCTTGCATCGCCACACAGTCAACCCACTACAGTGAAATAAAGTTAACTTTGCACCTTATTCTCTGTGAAGCCTTCAGGGAAATTTTATACAGATATAACCAACCCATGAACATAGTGCTCATGCAGAAGTTGCCTTTTGTGAGAAGTTTGCATAATTGGCATCATTCAATTACAGGCTAGCTATAGATGATATAGGGTTAATCAAGCAGTAAGGAAAAAGTCCAACAAGTTTTGCTTTTGGGGGTGGGAAGGAAGAGTACAGAGAAGGCAGATGGGGCTGCATGTCATCTCTGCATCCATTTCTGGCAAAGTAAGACACTTAAATTTTTCTATATCAGATATATCTGGTTAATTTTAAAAATAGTGTATTTGAGCTAAGTAAGGAGAAGATATTCTAAAATAACCTGCACAGTCCACCAGTAGCTACTAGCCACATGTGGTTGTGGAGTACTTGAAATGTGGCTAGTGAAGCTGAGAAATTAAATTTTTAATTTAATTTTGATTAAAAGAGCCTCATATAATACTGGATATTATATTTAGAAATCACCACTAGATTATAGTTTTCCTCTATGCCTAATTTATCCTGCTGTCAAATAGTACTTATCTTTAATTCTTTGGTTGAAAAGTATAAAATAAGTTTACTTGATAGGTTGAACCAAACATCTCAAGCTTCTATAACAGATGACAATAATTGATGTTTTCTAAAAAGATGATGCAAATTATCTCCATAATTATGATATTTTAAAACCATTTTATTAAGATATTAACAAACAAAAAATGTGTACATGCTTAATATATACAAGATGAGTTTGTAGATAAGTATACAGCAATATAAGTATATAATCATAAAACCATCACCTCAAACTGTACCATAAACTTAGCCACCACCTCCCAAAGTTTCCTCCACCCCTCTTAAATAATTATTTCTGTGTGTGATAACAGTCACATAAGATCAATTCTTTTAGCAAATAGTATTGTTTTCTGTAGCACTATGCTGTAGAGTAGCTCTCTAGGACTTATTCATCATGCATAACTGAGACTGCTTTCGACAAATATCTCCCCATTTCACCCTCCCCTCAGCTCCTGAGAAACCAACATTCTACCCTCTGCTTCTATTATTTAGACTACTTTTAATTCCTCATATAATTGGTACTATGTAATATTTAATCTTCTGTGTCTGACTTATTTCACAGAGCATAATATATTCCAGGTTCATCTGTTTGTCTGAAATGGCAGGATTTCCTTCTTCTTTTGAGGCTGAATAATATTTCATTATATGCGCATAACTCATTTTCATTATCCATTCACCTGTCTTGTGGATATTAAAGTTGCTTCCAAGTCTTGCCTACTGAGAAGAATGCTGCAAAGAAATGAGAGTGCAGATATCTCTTCGATATACTAATTTCAATTCCTTTGGCTATCTACCCATTAGTGGGGTTGCTGAATCACATGGTAGTTCTATTTTTCATGTTTTGAGGATTCTACACACTATTTCCCATAGTGGCTACACCAGTTCACATATCAACCAACAATGGGCATTTTCTTCACATTCTCACCAATACCTGTTATCTTTCGGATTGTTGATAAAAGCCATCCAAACAGATGTGAGCTAATATCTCACTGTCATTTTGATTTGCATTTCTCCAAAGATTAGTGATATTAAGCTCTTTTTTGTATACCTGTTGGCCATTTATACATGTTCGTTAGAGACATAGTGCTTTGCTCATTTTTTTTAATTTTTAATTTTTTTTTTTGCTATTGTTAGATGTCAACTCCTTATCAGACAAATAGTTTGTAAACATTTTCTCCCATTTTGTAGGTTGCCTTTTCATTATGTTGATTGTTTCCCTTGCTGTGCAGAAGCTGTTTTATTTGATATAATCTCATTTTTTAAAAAATTTTGTTGCCTGTGCTTTTTTTATCATAGCCAAGAAATCATTGCTACAGCCAATGTCAAGGAACTTTTTCCCTATGTTTTATTATAGAAGTGTTATGGTTTGGGGTCTTAAGTTATTTAATCCATTTTTACTTGATGGTGTTTTGTTGATGGTTTTGTTGATCCATTTGTTTATGGTGTAAGATAAGCGCCAAATTTTATTCTTTTGTATGTGTACATCCACTTTTCCCAGCACTATTTATTGAAGAAACCATCCTTTTCTCTTGACACTCTTGTCAAAGACCAGTTGATCGTATGTGTGGGGGTTTATTTCTGAGTTCTCTGTTTTGTTCTGTTGGCCTATACATCTGCTTTTATGCCAGTAACATTGTTTTGCATCACCACATAGTCAAAAATCAAGTGTTTTGATTATTTTAGCTTTGCAATGGATTTTAAAATTAGGAAGTTTCGTGCCTTCAGTGTATTCTTTTGCTCAGAATTGTTTTGGTTATTTGAAGTTTTTTGTGGTTCCAGATTAATTTTAGGATTGCTTTTTCTATTACTTAAAAAAAAAAACATTAGGATTTTGATAGAGATTGCATTAATGTGTAGATCACTTTAAGTAGTATGGACATTTTGACTATAATAATTATTCTAATTCATGATCGTGGGATTTTTTTTTGTTTATTTGTTGTTTGCTTTAATTTCTTCAGTGTTTTATACTTTTCAGTGTACAAGCTTTTTGCCTTCTTGGTTAAGTATATTTCTAAATACTGCATTATTTTTGATGCTATTGTAGATGAGATTGTTTTCTTAACTTCCTTTCCAAATAGTTCATTGTTAGTATGCAGATATGCGAATGACTTTTTTTAATTATACTTTAAGTTCTGGGATATATGTGCAGAATGTGCAGTTTTGTTACATAGGTATACACCTGCCGTGGTGGTTTGTTGCACCCATCAACCCATCATCTACATTAGGTATTTCTCCTAATGTTATCCTTCCCCTATTCCCCAGCCCCGACAGGCCCCGGTGCATGATGTTCCCCTCCTGTGTCTATGTGTTCTCATTGTTCAACTCCCATTTACAAATGAGAACATGCGGTGTTTGGTTTTCTGATCTTGTGATAGTTTGTTGATTTTTTTCCTGCAACTTTTCTGAATTTGTTTATTCTAACAGTTCTTTTTTGTAGAGTCGTTAGGGTTTTCTATATATTAAGATCATGTAATCTGCAAACAGAGATAATTTTACATGTTCTTTCCTGATTTGCATGTCTTATGTTTCTTTTCTTTTTCTTTTTTGCTTATTTATTCTATCTTATATTTTTGTCTACTTACTTTGGCTAGGACTTCTAGTACTATGTTGAAGAGAAGTGGCAAGAGTG